AAAGTCGATCGCTTGTTTTTATTTTTAATTAATGTAGGCTTTTAATTTTTGGTTAAATATACCTGACGATAAACTTAATGTAATTGGTGATCTTATTGAAATGCTTCATAATGCATCTTTACTTATTGATGATATTGAAGATAATTCTAAATTACGTCGTGGTGTACCTGTTGCTCATAATATATATGGTGTACCATTAACAATAAATGCTGCAAATTATATTTATTTTTTAGCTATGGAAAAAGCTCTTACATTAGAACATTCTGATGTTACACAAATATTTGTTGGTTTGTTTTTTTTTTTCAAAAAAAGAAAAATTTCCTTTTTTTTTGTCTTTAGAACAAATGTTAGATTTACATCATGGACAAGGTATGGAAATATGGTGGCGTGATAATTTTGTATCACCATCTGAAGATGAATATCGTCAAATGGTTATTAAAAAATGTGGTGGTTTATTTAATTTAGGTGTACGTCTTATGCAATTATTTTCAACAAATGATATATATCATAAATATAAATTTAATAAATTATGTCAATTATTATCATTATTATTTCAAATACGTGATGATTATTGTAATTTAATATCAAAAGAATATACAAATAATAAATCATATTGTGAAGATTTAACTGAAGGAAAATTTTCATTTCCTATTTTACATGCTGTTAATACACATGATACAGATACACGTATTATACATATACTTAAACAACATACACAAGATATAGATTTAAAACGTTATTGTGTACAATTATTATATGAATTTGGTTCTATTGAATATACAAAACAAACATGTGAAGATTTAGCAAAACAAGTATATGATGAAATTCATATACTTGGTGGAAATACTTATTTAGAACATATTATTAAAAGTTTAATGGAAATATTTCATAATGATCATGATAATCAACATGAACAAGATTTAGAAAATAATCAAATATATGTTATTAATCAACATGATGGAAAAAATCAACAACATCTTAGAAATCGTAAGAAAACTATACCAACATAATGATTGACAACCTTAAATGTAATTGTATATTTGCTATGAACTACACAACAATTAATGTATCTCATAGTGAAATAGGTGCTACTAATTTTTGCTAGTCATCTTGTTCTTTCATATATATCATTTTTGGTTTTATTGTTTTCTTTTCATCGTTGATCGAATATTTCTTTTCCTTATATAATTTTATTTTAAAAAGTAATGAAGAAATTACTATTGCAAAACAAGGAAAATAATTAATTAAAATATCCATGATATTATATATATAACCAGTGATCATTATTAAAAACAAACTTATTTTTATTCAATCCATTAAAATCAACATCTGAAAAAATGGAATTAGATGTTTTAGTTTCTTTTTTCTAAATAAAGACATCTACATTTTTATCAGGTTTCTTTTTCACTCCTATTTTTACTTCTACTGTCTGTGGGTGTGTGTGTGTGTGCGTGTTTGATGAGAGGTTTTTACTTTCTTTTCTTTTTTTTGTTATATTTGACTAGTTTATGTCCTTGTAACTAGGTCAATAGAAGAAAAGTGAGTGTGTATACAAGAATGATTTCATTTTTCAGTTTTTTTTTTTTGAAGAACTATTCAGTAGTTTTATCTTTCATATTGATCCAATTTGTTGTTAATATTGATTAGTTTGGATTTTTTTTAGCAAAGAAATAAATATCTTTATCTAATATAAATTATATTTGTCTATATATATTATTGAGAAAATTTTTATCAAATGATATTTTAAAAAGTAAAGATAGATTGTATAAAAAAGATTAACATTCATATGTAAGATTAAGGTATAACGTTTTTTATTGAAGTAACCTAACTTTTTTGGCCATCAACATAATAAAAATAAAATATTATTTTTAAAAGCACATGTTAATCTTTCTCAAGATTGATTTATAAAATTTATTGATGATAGAAATTTCAAAATTTGAATACAAATTAAATTTACACTGTCATTATAATAATAATAATAATTAATATCGATATTTTTCAAAGAAATTCTTTTTTTTTTTTCATTAAATCTTACGAAAGGACGTTTGCTCTGTGAGCATAGAGTTACTAATATCTCAATATGGATACGTCTGTCCTAACTTAAATATTGAGGCATTCCAGTGACAATAGTTGAGTATATTTGTTCATAACTCAACAAGTAAAAATTGGAAAACTAAATCAAAACAAATTTTTTCACTACTACTCTTAAGTATTTGAATCTTACGTTAATGTGGGTAACCTATTACAGATCTTCATATAATATGTTTTTCTGCATCTATTTTAGTATCATTGAAATAAATTGAAGTACTTATTTTAATTATGGATGCAGATGCACAATTTTTAAATGATTTTCAAACGGCAGTTTTACCATTTGAACAATGGACACATGCAGCTCATATACGTATGGCTTATTTAGTTTGTAAATCATCGAATAATTTTGATGAAGCTCTATTAAAAATTCGACAAGGTATACAACATTTTAATGGATTACATGCAGCTAAACTTAAAGTTGGTTTTCATGAAACAATGACACGATTTTGGACAATCGTTATTTGGAATGCAACACAAAAATGTGATTCATCTATATTAAATTCTAATGATTTTATTGATAAAAATTCTTATTTATTGGATTCTTCATTATGGAAACAATATTATTCACCAACACTTATGTTTTCATCAGATGCAAAACGTGATTTTATAGATCCTGATTTAAAACCAATATCAATTAATAATTCACATATCACAAACTAAATATCAATCATATAATACATATGATTTTTCAAATGAAATGATCAATGATAGTTAGTCATAAAACATTTTCGATTATTTTTTTTCATATTATAGAAAATTAAAAGTTATATTATTATGAAAATATGATTAATCTTTCGTTACTTAAACAATAATGCGAACATATGAAACTTTTAATCAAATGCGAATAGAGATTAACATTTAAAATATGTAATATTTCGCGAGAGATACTATTAAATGATAAGTTTTTGAAAAATAATTTAACACTACAATATAATATACTTTTTGAGACTAGGATTCCGATGGTCGGAGCCTGTCTCGTAGGTTAGCTCAGCCTATCTCCTCCGCCATTGGTTACATCCCTGATAGTTGAAAACATTTTTAATTTCAATATGAAATAATGTTTGTAAAATTGAGTTATTCAACAAAAAATAAAAAGAATATATTCAAATTTACTATTATTAGAATCTTGAATTTTCTTGTCCAATTCTTAATCATTGTAGTCGATTTGAAAAATAATTGCAATAAGATCTAATATCAGTCATAGTTTATTCAGAAATTCAATGTTACTTATAATAAAAAAAAAGAAAAGATTTCATCAAAAATTATGAAATCAAATAATATATTATTATCTTCTATGGACATTCCATATTATGCATCCAATTCATCCAAACTCTTAAATTTGTTTGTTTACATTTATTAAACATTTTAACATCATTATGATGACAATCAATTTTTGGATTGTACCATGATGAAAAATTAAGTCGATCATCTATAGATATTTGAGTTTCATATGCCATTTGACATAGTGGACATAAAAGATTCATCCATGTTGTAGGAAATTTTGATTCAATTATTGTATATTCTCGCCATTGAAGATATTGAAGATATTTTTCAGAATTATTTATAAGATAATTAAGATATTTAGCAAGATCTTCAGGTGTTTTATAATTATTAATATGAATATAAGATTGTTTAGGTGCTATAAGTTTATAATCATTTTCATTTGCACCCATAACAATAGGTACAATACGATAATTATTATTTGATATAATATTCCAAAATTTTTCTGTTATATATGAATTACAACGTGTATTTTCAAATGCTAAATAAAAATAATATTCATCAAGATTAATATTACATTGATGATGATTGTCTTTTGAACATAATATACCACATTTACCATAAATATCAATATGAATAAAATTTTTTAATTTTTCAACATATTTTTCACGTTGAGAAAATGTTATACAATTTGATACAATCCATGCAATAGGTTTTTTTTTTAATTTTAAACTTTTAATATTTAATTTTTGTTCATATTGTATTTGACTTTGATATGATAAAGATAAATTTGATTGATCATTAGATAATATTCGAGTTTTTATTATTGATGAGAAAATTGAATATGGTGAATCATATTTATATGATATTGATCTATCAAAATATTGATCTAATAGATGTGGATAAAATGATGGATTTTGATAATAAAAATTAATTGGACTTTCACCTGTAATAAATATCCAATTTTGATTATCAATTTTGAATTGTTTTCTTTCTGGTAATTGATTTCTATTTATATCATATAAATGGAATGCAACGACAGATGCTTGAGATAATTTATGTTTATCACGTGTAAATTGACATTGATGTATTGGTGAACAAGAAATAATTGTTGATAAATTAAAAAATAAGTCTTGATGCCAATAATAATTATTAAATAGACTAGTCCAAAGAAGTACAAGATGATAAGATTGAGATTTATCATGTGAAATCAAAGTATAAGTAGATGTATTTATATGAAAAATATGCGTAGGAAAAATTTTTCTAGATTGATTTTCATTATCATGTTGATTATCATAAATAGAATAGAAAAAAAACATTGTAAAAAAAACAAAAAACAAAATAACAAAACGAAAACGTTGTATTTGATATTTTTTAAACATAATAATAATTAAATATTGTGTAAATATACTTTTAAAACGAATTAAATATATCTGATATACTACATAAAATAAAATTTAATTTATTATTTTTTGTTTTCTCTGTATTTTAATATTATTTATTTGAACTTACATTTTTTAGAAAAAATAATTTGAACCATCTTAAAATAAAAGAAAATATTTTTCTTTTTTTCTTTAATTATTTTTGTATTTCAAATTAAAATGTTCGCTTTTTTTTTTTTATTTTTTCAATAACGAATTTTTTTATTTTGACAATAAATAATAATAAAAGAGATAGATTTTTTCATTTTATTTTGTTGATGATATACTATCACCACTAGCTGTTGCTTTTTCTTTATGTACGACAACACCACGAGCAATTAAATCAGGTATTTCAACAGCCAACCAAGGACCAAGCTAATTGAAATAAACGAAAAACAAAATCAATATTTATCTACATGATTATATATATATATATTCTACTTACACCAAGAGCTAATGCATGTGCAATACCAAAACGTGGTACATTTCGAGCCCATAATGGTTGAAAATGATCAGTCATACAAATTTTTCCTCCTCTATATAAAAATAATTCAAAAATAAGTTATTAAAAGTAATACACTTACCGATACATTTTTGCTGTTTTTCCATCAAGATCTGGTATTGCAATTTCAGGAGCTGTCATTGGATATGTAACTGGTATCTATTTCCAAAAAAAAATTTATAATAATAATAAAAAAATAAAAATTTACATCAAATTCAATATCAAATTCATAACGTAACATATCTTGTATTGTCCATGCTTTTCCCCACCAACGAGTTCCTTCTTGATTTGATTCAAGACGAAACCAATCATTATCAGCATCCTTATTATTTTTAACATACTAAAATTAATATATATATATTTATCTAACAATGATAGTAATTCAACTGTAACTATAATAGTTAATTTTAATATCGAAACAAATCTTTTTTTTTTCTAAGTTAAAACGATCGACTTTAATCTTTACTTGTATTAATGATTGAAGTTCTTCTTTAAGTCTTTGTCGCCATTGTTCACCATCACGTGGACTAGCTTTTGTTTTTAATAATGGAATGTTTGATAAAGTTTTTTTTGTTACTTCGTCAACCATCTGAAAAATATGAAATATATATATATATTTGGTTTTTTTTTTATTGCATTAAATAGAAATGATTTTTTTATTTTTATAAAAATTTCACGCCATCAGCACCATTTTCTGAAAATATAGTAGCTTGACCACGTTTTTCAAGTTCAAATAAAATACGATGAAAAAGTTTTGAATCAATATTATGAAATTCTATATAATAGAGAAAATTTAGTAAAAAAAAATTTTTTTTTGGTAAAATATAATATTTTTATACCAGCTGAACGTGTATCATCACCATGTAATAATTCATAGAATGTACAAACAGTTCCATTCATACCTCGTGATGTAATCTTTAATAATAATTAAAAAAAGAACTCAAATAGAAAATTTAAAATAAATTTACCCATTGATAAACTGTTTTAGCCCATTCTTCAAGTGATTTCCATAATATTAAACAACGTCGTTTATTTTTATCTTCCCATTCAATATTACCTATAATATTATTCAATAGAATATAATAGATTTCTTTTCTTATTCTTACCTCGACTACGTAATTCTTCAAGTAAAATTTGAATAAAATTATTATCTAATTGACCTAGAAAAATAAATCAAATTTTAATTTAACATAGATTATATAATCCATAATACATACGATTAATTTTTGCATTGATAAATGGTGAAAATTTACTAGCATCATTTACATCAAATGTACAAACTTTTTTCAAACGACAATAATCTAATATAAGTGAACACCAAGCATCGAGTTGTTTACGACGTGTATCAAAATTTGGTTGAAGACTTAAAACAAAAAAAAACAACATATAAGAAAAATTACAAATATCAACAGCAACCGTCAAAGTTCGTTTACAAAGATTTTCAACCATAAAAAAAGACACTGAACGGTATATATGCCTTTAGAAGATCGACACATATTTCTTAAATTAGAAGTTTTCAAGAAACATTGAACAGTTATGTAAGACTATTTCTGAAAATTGTTAATTATTTTTCAAATATTCTTTACTTACGTAAAAAATGGTGGAAAATCATGATACCATGATAGATCAGATATTTTCGTTGATGTCATTCTCTTTCTATTCTAAGAAAATCTACAAGAGAAAAAGAAGAAACATAACAACATAACAATCGATGATTTTTATTGATGATAATTTTTTATTTTTATTTTTTCAATAACGAAAACAAAAACATTTTATGTTAATGCATCTTCATTTCGAAGAAATTCACCAACATCAGCTTGATGAAAAACAACTAATGCCATTGGATCAGCTGCTCGACATTCAATTGTTGATTTTGCTGCTACACCAAATCCCTAAACATATACAAATATATGTAATTATCTAACGAAATAAATCAAAAAAAAAAAATTATACTTACTAATGGTACATCATTCATAGTGTATACAATAACACCATGATATTTTGGTGTATTTTCTGTTATACGTCCTAAACCGGATTTTACAACATTATGTCCATAAAGAAATTGTTGTTCAGCATTTGGTTTAAGCCATATTTTAAACTATTTACAAAAAGAAAAAAAAAATAGATTTTAAAAAAAAACGAAAAGTTTATTTATCTTTTTTACTTTAGCATATGGAGCAATAAAATCAAGTGCTGTTATATGTAAACGAAATTTACGTGTTTTAGTAAAACGACCAAAACAAGTACCAAAACTAAGTAATTCTTTTCGAGGAAAATTACTGGCATATTTTATTATTGCTTCACTAAAGAACAAAAATAAAAAAGCTTTCGTATAGATTTTTTTTTTGTTTGGAAATCAAACCTGCAATAATAAACACGATCACGATGTAAACGAAATGTATAAAGTCCATCAGGACGTTCTAATAACATGCGAACATTATCACCAATACTAAATTTTGTAATTGTTATTTTACATAGAATATATACATATACAGTCAAAGACAAAAGTTTAAACGAAAATGTATTTTTGATTTTTCCTATAACAACAAGCATCTTAACTGAAATACAAATAGTGATTCGGATAGCCAATGAAGAGCTCTATCAAATACATTCTACACCAGAATTACATAGTTGGTTTAAGGTAGCAAGGTTTCTAGAAAATCCAAAACCGTATTTTTCAGGTCTCAGAAGACTTAGCAATAATTCGTTTCTAACAGTACCAACTTAAAGAACATAAAACTTCCCAGGTCAAACGACCCCAGTCGGATCTCGCTAGTTCGGAATAATTTCGGTCGGATCCGGTCCTATATTTGTCGGATTCCCATCAGCCGGATTCCGGTCCGGATTTCATCGGAATTCGACGGAACGTGATAAAATCCGGCCTGATCCGACCCGGATTTCATCGTGTTCCGTAGAATTCCGATGAAATCCGGACCGGAATCCGGCTGATGGGAATCCGACAAAAACCTTGTCGGATCCGATCGGTTTTTTATGAAAGATGTCGGATTCCGAGGCGGATCCGATCGTTTTCGATCGAATCTACAGGTCGGATTGAATCTCCTGGGTTCTGAAGAAAATGAAGGGTCGTCGTCTTTCCTTTCAAAATTTATAAGCATTACAAAAAGTGAAATTTATCAAGAAACCGCTAAAAATCGTATTTTTGTGATGCTTATAAATTTTGAAAGGAAAGGCGGCGATCCTTCATTTTCTTCAGAATTTTGTGTTCTTTAAGTTGATACTGTTAGAAACGAATTATTGCAAAGTCTTCTGAGATCTGAAAGATACGGTTTTGGATTTTCTAGGAACCTTACTGCCTTAAATCATCTATGTAATTCTGATATAGGATGCATTTGATAGAGCTCTTCATTGGCTAAACCGAATCACTATTTAGATTTCAGTTAGATGCTTGTTATTATAGAACAAAATCAAAAATACATTTTCGTTTAAACTTTTGTCTTTGACCACTTACTATTTTGAAAGTTTTTCAAATAGGATTTTTGTTTCTTCATCAGTTAATGGACGCATGTTTAAATTTGATCTAAAACACTTAAAAAATTCTTTCACATTCGAATAATATTCATTAATAAGATATATATATATAAGAAACTTGTATTTTAATTAAAAATATCATCAATACAAACGTTTGTATTCCATTATTGAATTCGATAAGATTTTTCACTTAACTGTATCAAATATAGACAAAGTTTATGCGATTTAGAACATAAATTGATTTCGAAATAGATAGATAGATCAAAAAGGTCCCCTTATAAATATTATTCAATTGATTATATTTTTAACAAATAAAATTAATTTTATTCTAATAATAGATGTCACTCATCAAAATTTTAATAAATTTAATCAATCTATCTTTTAAATAAACAATCTATTTTAATTTTTCATAATTTATTTTATAGAAAATTTTTCATTAAATTTCTTCATATTGAAGGTTATATTCATCGTTCATGGCCGTATCCTTATATTGAGAGTTTATTACGTGATTCTTTGAACTTGTTGTTTGATATATTCATATACATATATTTTACACATCGTATTATTTTAAATAAAAGGATGCAGTCAATACTGCATCTTACTTTTGTCTTATTACTTATTTATTTAGTATGTAGAAATTTTGAAAAATTTATTCAATTAGTCTTTTTGTTTTGTATTTTCATTAGACAAATGCTGTCGTTCTTAAAACATCTATGACTAATAATTATCCTCAAATAGCTGTTTTAGGTTGTGATAGTCATAAAGCTAATTTGTATTATGATATTGAACGACAAGTTTGGGTTGAACATTTAATTAGTTCATGTGTAAATAATGAACAAAGTATTCTTGAATTTTGTCAACAAGTAAAAAAAAAAATATACAGAAATTATCTTTATAATCATAAAAATAATATATTTTTTTTTAATATTTAGGCTTATCCAACACTTCATATTGGTAATATTGTTCGATTAGATACAATATTATCTTTTGAAAATTGGTGTGAATTAATAACACCAATAATTGATAAAAATGGTGATAATATTCATCGTTGTAAACAAAATAATGATATAGAAGAAAAAATACAACCATTTCGTTGTTTATATCAAAGTTTTCAACGTGAAAAAATAATATTACCAACAATTGATTGTTCAATTCATAGTATTATGAATACAGGTGAATGTTTACGTGCTGAAAAATTACAAAAATTAGCATCAATTGAATGTGCTAATAAAACTATGAATTTAAATCATTCAATAATGACACTTGATTGGTGTGGTTTATCATTATTTCGTGGTATTGAATTTGTTTGTTGTCCAATAAATAAAAATGATGATAATGATTATGAAACAAGTATTGATGAACAAGATAATAATCTTATTGAAGATAATCCTATACAAGAATCAACACATCGTCGTATTATAGCTATGACAATTGCAACACGTAATAAAGAAGAATTTATTTAAATGTTTAAACTTTTTTTTTTTTGATCTAGGTGAACCTAGTTGGATGGAAGATTATCGTCGATGGAATACAGATTCAGCATATTTTGCTGGTAATTATATATATATATATATATATTTGATTGTATTGTTTATTTTATTTTTAAATATAGATGATGAAGATATGAATGATTATCAACCATCACCTGTTCCAAAATCTGATGAAAATCAACGATTTACAAAAGATAAAGAAACATTTAAACAAAAATATAAAGAACAAATTGATCAAGTATATTATCAATTTTAAATATTTATTTATTTATTTATTTTTTTTCATTTTCATTATAAAAATTTATTTATTAGTTAAAATCTCGTTGGCAAATACGTCAAAATGAAATTCAATTATTAGCTCATCATAATATAACTGCAGCACAAAATCAATATGAAATAAGTGAAATACAATTTCGACAAGAATATGAAATAATAAAACAATCAGCTAATCGAGAACGAATACGTATGAATGAATTACATGAAATACATTTAGATATTATACTTAATGAACTTAAAACTGAAGCAAATAATAAATTACTTAATATATGGAACGAAAAACCACTTAAGGTATTAATTATATAAACAAAAAATATTATTAACTATTGATTATTACATCATCATTTATATATATTCATCAACAGTTTGCTTATCTATCTATCAGAAAGATACATAAAAAAAAAAAAGGTCGATTGTATCTGTCTTATATATGTGAATATTTGACAAGCGAGTGAAAGAAAGAAACATATGTTTATGAAACAGAGATAGATTATTAATGATGATAGTGTTCATACTTGAGAATAGAAAAGGTTACTTATTAAGTGCGTAAATGAGCACATATATGACAGAACTGAATAAAAAAAAAAGCGAATGTGTTTGTTGAACTGAATATCCGTTATGAAGTATAATATATGTACTTGAGAAAATGATACTTGTCGAATTGCCTTTTTCTTTTTTTCTTTTGCAACCTTTTTATTCATTGAAGCGATAGCAAAAAAATTCATTTCTTTTGTATTCATATGGTAATCAAAATGAAGGACAAAAAAAAAAAAAAAAGAAAGATTTTTATTTGAAATGTTTCTAAAAATTTCATATTTTTTGTTTGTTTTTATCAATTGTAGACAGAAAATGTTGAAAAAGCACTTTATAATTATCTTCAAATTTTATTACGTGATCGTATACATCTTGTTAATCGTTATGAACGTTTACGTGCTGTTGATCCTGAACAAGCCGAACGTAAACGAATGTCTATTCATGAAAGATTACGTCTTATTGTTGATCGAATCAATGATGCATTAAATCAACTTCGATTATATCCTAATCTTCAATCAAAAATTCAACCTCGACTTGGTAAGAAAATAATATCATTTTAAACTAAACGAGATATATACAATTTTCATTGAATTTTGATTTTTGACAAGGTGAAGACATATATAAAAATGTTAACACTTTCAAATAAAAAAAGTAATTAGCAAATATGTCTTTCATCATATGAGAAATTCTATAGTACGAAGATTTCAGCAAGATCATCGAACTCTACAAATATTTGTCTTATCATCAGGTTATTAGAAAATTTTTTTTTTCGCTGATATGTGTCATGTCGTTAACGAATATTAAATTATTATTTTTTTTTCTAAGAAGAAAACCTTTGAATAGAAATTATGAAATCTCAG